TATCAATATGTAATAAAAGACGTGAGGAAATTCTGTCTTTTTTAAAGACAAAAATTTTTGAGGCGAAATACCCAAAAAGAAGTTTGTAAAAAATGTAATTTTATAATGGATGTTACATAATTAATAATTAGTAAGGAAATATTTTAATTAACACTACACACAATATATCTACATGTATGACTTCTTATACTGTCGTTTTTCTTCACATGCAGGGGGGCCGTCTAACACATAGAGATTGGCTAGGATTTCTAGTGCATTCTGTTATCAGGCCCTACATTTAATTTTATTAAATAGTTCGAATTAGTTAATATGAGACATTAATAATATCGTAATTATTTTTTTAAAATCATTGGTTCCATCATAGAGCATCTACAAATGTAACTACTTTTTTATCATGCACTTTATAGCTAAATTATGCTGATTTTAGTGCCCTTATTTAAATAAAACGGACAAAAAAATATTTTAAACGCCAGCAGACTACTTCTGGTTAAAGTACGTTTTTCAAAACCCACTAATCGCGGTTTTACAAAAAAGTCGCAAACTAACTTGACTATAGGTATATTCTTATTATTATCCTTCATCTTCTAGATGGCATATCGTCGCTGTATTTCAGAGCATTTAGTATCAATAGTTTTTCTGAAGTTTCAAACTGTCTTGATTATTTTATACTATTCTGTAGCCCAATCATTTGGTTCTCATGCTGATTTTATTCTCTTCTTCTTTTCCATATTCATCACATAATATTCACCTCGGCTGTTTGGCATTCACTTTTTTATCTGTGTTTCTTTATGGTTTTTTTATTAGCAACACTTTGTACTTAGATGTTGGCGTTAGCAAATTGGAAAATTAAAATTTCCCACTATTGATAGCGCGCAAAATCGCGTTGTTGGCGTGTTTCCTTCATCCTATAGAAACCCTGTGCTTGTAATCTTGCCTCCAAGGTACATAAATGACATGCTCTGATGCTTGTGTTGTGTGTGTGTGAAAAATTTGATCTTAATCCTGTTGTTATGTTTGGGTCTCTAATATCTTTAATGGATATTCTCTCGGTATATTACTCGATAATTACATTCGGTCGTAGGCTTTGGTTAAATCTCAAATCAGAAGCAGGTCTGCAGTATGCCTAATGCATTGGTAGTGGAGAGGTTTCTTGAAAATATCTGTTGTATGTTGCTTATTGTTTTAGGCCTATAGATCGGCGGTGTTTAACTGTTTTTTCTTCCTGCTTTATTTTTCAAAATTGTCTTATATTGAACTATTTTGTGTCCACTTGTACAATGAGAGTTCATCCGTTTTCACTTTCAAGTGTCTTCGGCGCCTCTCTTACTTGTTCTTCAGAGATTTTCTGTTTTCTTCTTAGATATTTTCCTATCCTCCCACTGGGTTTTCTGTATCTACATATCCATTTCTGAAGCAATTTCTCCCTGTTTCTTTTGTCACAGTTCTTGGCTGTAGTATTTCATTCGTTTCATGTTTCATATCTACAACATTTTTGTCTCTCTTGCACTTCTGCGTTTATCTCATTACAAATCTCTACCAGTATCTTTCTTTAGTTCCTAAAAGTATTTCAGAGATTTCAAAGTGTATTGTTGATACTGCTCCCTGGAATGCTGTTCGAAATGAGGTGTAAATATTTTTTTCAGATGTTTTCGTTATCTTGAACGGATCAATGTTTACTTATTCAGATTTTCCTGCATTTTTTTACTGCATTCTAGTGTTTGCATCGGACATGGAAAGTCGTTTATTCTTATTAATCTCAATGTTGATGAGGAAACTATGTGTTATGAATGAAGCAGTTATTGCAACCTTGTATTAAATAGTAGCAACTACTTGATAATAATGGGGCGAAATCAGATGTTGAATTCAATTTAGCAATATCTAATAGATCCAAATGCTTGCTTTCATGTAAACTGTTATAAGTGACTTCACCTCTAATTAGCAAAAACCTGAAATCTGAAAATCTCACAAAAATGGTATTAGAAATGGCAAACCAAACCAACTCGACGGTTCTCAAAAGAAGAATTTAGTAGCTGCTGGGTTTCTAATTGCTGAGTTTATTGCTGGTAAAACATCGATTTCCAAAATGTTTATGTATTTTAATCCAGTCGCTACAATCTAGACTTTTTATAGTTCAGACAACATTAAATGTCTACGATTCTTAAAATCAGCGTTTACGTATTCGAGACGTGCCGAGAAATGACTATTACGCCAATGAGATATTTCTTCATTCAATCAACCCAATAATTTTTCAGGAGCATTGTACTTTAAAATCATTTTAAAAATCAATCTACAAATTTTGTATACATATAATGCCAGGACACAAGAAGCTTTATGCCGTTAGCTGCTTTATAAAAGCGCAGTTTATTAAGTTGGCTAACCCAAGCTAATCGTATTATTAATATTTTAACAATAATTAAAAACTAAATCTAAATATTACATTACATTTATGAACCACTATAGGTGTTGCCTTAAAGACGTCATTCTCATATTTAATGGAAACTGGCAAACATTGCAGTTTGAATAATTTGTTCCAGGCAGTTATAATAACTAGTTAGTAATTGGCCTCGCATTCTGGAAAAATTGCCATTTTAAAGATTTTTCGCCCGTTTAAACTGGCTCGCGCGTCGCATCGTTAAATGTTTCTTACGGCGGCAATTTGATGTTTTCTTTCGAGATTTAAAAATATCGCTTCTTAAAGGTCTTATTTTTCTTTATGTACGGTACATAACTTTGTGGTATATCTCTGGCGCACACTTTACTTACAATCAAACTGTTGTGTGCACATGAATAAAAAATTCAGTGAACTCGATTTTGTATTCTTTGTCTTTACATAACTTGAAAAGTAGTATTTGCTAAAGTTTGTCAGGTTTCTAGACACTCGCTAGCAAGTTTATGTACTATAAAAATGTTAACTATTGACTGCTAACTTTGGGTTTTTAGTTTCAGATCTGCATTGGAAGAAAACAATCAAAAAGCTCCAGAGGGGCGACTTTTCCAGCCTAGAATGTCGCTGCTGGGAAAGCCCCTAAACTACAGAGCATCTCGTCGTGATGCCAGATATAGAAGATTACAGACCCGGATTCACAATTTTCTAGAAAGGCCTAGAGGGTTCGCATTCATTTACCATTTCCTGGTGTAAGTATCCATGGAGTCCCATTTAAAAATAATATTGCCAATTTTTTTCATCGTCATTCTTTTGAAAATTATTAAATTTGGTCAGCGTTACCAAGATAACTAGATTACTTACAAATGAATGCGCCAATATGTAAGGACTGTGGCTAAATTCTGCAAAGATGGAATTGTAGTTTTTTGTTTATAATGGTTTCGGACAGAGAAAGACAAATTGAATTCTATCTAACGGAAAAACGGCATGGTCGAGATCCGAAGTAGCTAAACTTTCTACAAAGTTGGAAGGTTTCTAAGTGATTTTAAAGCTCTACCCAAAATAAATCTTTGCCAACAAATTAATTAGAATCTTCTAACTCTCACTAAGTGCGAAATGGTTTACCTTATGCATATTATATTCAACGGAGTGAATAAATGTTGTTTAGTCGAACAAACCTGCTAAATTCATAAATTTGAAATTAAAATAAATTAGAAAGTATTATTACTATTACGCAAAGAAAAATATGTCCAAAACAATGCAGCGGTCGGAAAAGTATACCTAAACCACTTTACTTCATTAGTATTTGGACTCCGGCGGTATGTAAGAAGCACAGAAAAAAATTCTCATTCTCAAATAGAATTTGGTAAAAACCTACAGCTTTATTCGTAAATCATCATCATGTGTAATTAAGTCAAATAGAAGCAAATAGCAAACGGATCAAGGTGGTTTATAGCCTTTTTCGAATAGAAATAAAAATTGTTTTTATATATAAAAGCAAATGAATCATTTTACTGGTGCAAAATTCGTCATTTTAATCAGGGTAGGGGAAAGAAAAAAGACAGAAAGGGAAAAAGGAAAGCAAAATAAAAATAGTTTAAAACTTTAGTTTTACAGTAACGTTTAATGAAATGATATAAATTCCGGTAATGCGTGTTTTAATTACATGAGTTTTATCAAAACAATGCAGAATACATCACAGCACTGCTAAACATCACTTAATTACCTCACTTTACAACATCAGTTTCCAATGTTCACAGTGCCATTTGAATCTTGTATCACAACCTAAGGTTATTTAGTGGAAAAAGTTGATAAGACGGTAAAGAGCTAGACCATGTTCAAAATATGGCTTGATACAAACAGTTTGAGATCAAAGATAATATCTTAATGGTATTTCGGTCCTATGTGCTTATATAAATGCGCTTCCAGATGAGGTTAGTGTTTGGAACTCATATCGTAGTTTGATGTTAAAGGAGTGTTTTTCAGTTTAAAAAATTATAAAACCGTGAACCATTCTATTATTTGATATAAAATGTATTCAGGAGTTCAAGATAAAGGAAAATCGGTGCGGATTTTTTCAATGGTTTGCCATTCTTGGTTCTGGTGCTTGTTCCTATCAAACGTAACGCTGCATTCAGTATGACTTCAATAAATCTCCTTTCGGGATGTAATTTTGAACCACGACAACTCTGTAACGCTGACATTTAAAAAATAATTGTATTTCAAAACGATGTTCAAAGACATAATTATTTACTTTTCAAGATTATCGAAGATTACTAGCTGTTCGCAATGTCTACAGATCTACTGCTAATAATATAAAATTGATATTTTCTATTGCGAAAATTGCTCTGCATGTTAAACAGGAGCTGTATCTCAAGTCCAAGCGTAGACGATCATTTCTAAGTAGAAGTAGAGTTAGGGAATCAATTCATTAATTATACAGTCCTTCGTTGGCTAATCTGCAATAAGATTTGCATTTCCCAATCAGTGCTTACTGAACAGCCATCAAATGAATTGACTTGAGTTGTAAGTTTTACCAAATATAAGCTTGTTGGACAAATTGGCGCTTTTGGCGCTTTGAGGTTGAACTGCACACATAAAAGCATATATTTACTCAAACAGCAAGCAATTTCACTTAAGGCAACATAGACAAATGTCGGTCATTTAGGCTAGTAAGACGTTGGTCGGGCAACTTACCAAAGTACAGAAACATGTCCAAATCTTTCTGAGATATACAGCAAGCAAAGCTTCTACATTGATAAATAATAATCAAAGTACTTGCTTTGAGCAAGTCGACTAAGAAAATCCCCTAGAAATGACCCTAAATTTATTTAGAAGTTCAGGCTTCTGCTTCAGTTGTTTAAGATAATGTAATTTCCGTTTCGCAGATGGAAATGAAGATTAATTCTCCGGTGTCGCCCGCAGAGAAAAGAGAAAAATTGTTAATTTTATGTATCGGATATTTGCTCTAAGGCAATCAATAATAAAAGTAAAATAAATAATTGTTTCAAGTAAATTATATTGACTTTGATATGGAGAGGCGATAATCGACATGGCATAATTCCTAGATGTATGATGGCCACTTTATTAAGAGTTTCAATGACTTCTGCAATTATGGGTTTTTGTCTCGCATTATAAACCCTGCAATGCGGAGACTTATTCTAGCGCAGATTTTTCCGCATTTAAATAAACAGGACTAGCTATTAAAATTAAAAGCTTATTAAATTTGGGTTATGTATACAAAGCTGCACGTACACGCCACAAATCCCGGATGATGTAGGTAATAAGTTAAGGTATTTTTAATAAAGGCTGTGCGTCATTTGGCGCAACATGTGGATTGAATCGGTTTTGTAGGTAATTGTCAATTGCGCTCTACCAACGAATATTATAAAAATTACTATTTAGTATGCGTCAGAACCCAAAAGGTAAAGCTGCCAGAATCTTAAGGTAGGACAAAACCTTATAACCTGCTTATTGAGGATGCAATTTCCTAGCCTTGCAATTGGATTAACCAACACCTTTTTTTCTGCGCCGTAGCAATATAGTTTTGCTTTGCTTTGACGTAAAAAGCTATCTGTGTACGTTAAAGTATTTTCACAAATCTCTTTAGTGAGAAAAAATATATAACGGCATGCTTTCGAAACCCCCTAGTGATCTTTAAGAGAAAGCCCTAGGAGTACTTTAAATAACAGGGAACCCTGCTGATTAATGCGGATTAAGGCAATTCTGTCCAATTATTCGAGTCCTTCAAAGACCCCGTTGTGTTAGTTCTTAGATCAATGGGAAATTATTTAGGTTCAACTGTGATAAGAGTTTGCTTGTTTGTTATACATAATGCAGTCTATTCCTCGCAGGATTTTTACGTATAAAATTTTAATATGCCGCGTTAGTCGTCCTTAGATGAACATAATTAGTTATCTGGTTTGAAGTAAATTTTATCTTCTCTTCTATGGTGTTCTAATGTCGGTTTTTAAATCGTTCAACTCATGTTGACATCCACTTATGGTGGTCAAGTATCTTTGCACCTATATATATCGAACGTAATGCGTCGTTTGCTAAATAGAATCGGATATTGCAGGCAGACAGGGTTATCCAAATGTTCCACATAAAATTGATATATTTTTTTTAAAACGATTTTCCCTAAAATATCCGATGGTGTGCGTCACACCAATCTAAATATTCTGATATACTTAAGTCAAATTTCTCCAAATCGCTGGATAGATCTTATTGAATGGCCATCACGGTGACCGGATCTTAGTCCACTCGGTTTCCTAGTCCAGTGTCAACAAGCTAGATTCTAAAACATTAACGATCCTAAACACATTGATAGGAATGGAATTATTATTTCAGTCGATGATATTCCTAGTGTGAGTATAGGGCATATCAGAGGGAAGGTAGAAAACCTTTTCTGCATTCCCAAGAAAAGCAGTTGGAGTGGTTGGAGATAAAGTGGTTGGACATAAGGGATGATGGTTATCACCAAAACTTGAACAATGCTTGCATGAGAATTACGTGTTTCGGAATTTTTCGGAAAATTCGTATATAAAAATATCAAATTTATGGAGGACATTTGAATAACCCTGTACATTCGATAATCTGAGCCCGTTTCCAAAGCTTTATAATATTGTTTTATATTATTCACAACGTTTCGGTTCATTAATGCTTTTAATGATCTAATTAATGACAATCAATGATCAATTTTCGTGCTGTCCGATTGGATGCAAATGAAAAGCAAACGTTAATATGTATCCATACCAAACGCTATGAACCGTACATATTCTAGATAGCCATTTTTCTTAGCTCAGATAATATCTAGAATGACCACACTATGTATATTAGGGTCAGTCATTAATGATAATGTACGAATGCTGCTGAAATGCATTGATTCATAAATAATTAGTTAAAGCAAACAGATATATTTTATGATCAAATATGCTGCTCTGGAGTAGGTAAGTGTTCGATAACTCGAAACTCTGACTAATCAAATTTTACTAATGAACTGAAATAGAATAACTTTAAAATACTATATTGGAAGGAGGTACATCTAATAGTAAATTTTCTGGTTTGCGCAACGTGCCCACATATTTTTACATTCCCTTGGCAGTTCCACATTCTACTTCATATATATTTTGGGTAAAATAATCGTTTCAATCCCCGGAACACGACCTAACTATTTTCCAGAACTAAGTAACATTGTCATAAACATTTTTCATCGCTTATATTAACAGACAACGATCTTCAAGAACTGACAATAATGCTAATAATAATGTTTTAAAAAATTACATAGTCTTTTTCGACGGTTTACTCATATTGGTTCATACAATACACTTCTGGACACAATAAATATAATTCAATTTAAATATTACGTAGCTTTTATAGTTGTTAACAAAATACTGAAAATCGCTTTACAGCTAAAAAATGTAAAGAAGGTTTAAATGAAATAATATTTATCGTGTTCGGTTTTATTGACTTTCTATAGGGTGAATTAAAGTGCGATGTGATATGAAATTTAAATTTTTCTTTGCTTCTGGAAGACTAGTTATTAAAAATGCAGTTTTTATTTTCAGTTGTTTGGTCAGGTTCAGTTTTTTGGTCCCAACAGGTTGGCTATCGAAAATTGAGAACATTTTCTTACAAATGACAAAAACTTACTAAACTGGAAAAATGTTGAATAAAAAATAAAATATTGGAGATAATTGTAAGGTAGATGTTCTCTGAAGGTCCGGCAATTTCGTTATTTTTTAACTAAATAGTATTGGGACTGTAGACTTTGAGCCATTTACGAACAACCGATATCAACATACATTAAATTTAGTGTTTAATGGTCCTTTCTATTTTGCTGAGTTAAAAGTTTTCCACTTATTAACTTATTAAATTTAGCTGTGGCGTTTTTTTTTGTATTATTCGTCAACATATAGATATTTGCAATTTGTATGAATATATTTTTCTTTATTGCCAACGAATAAGAATGCGAATTTCCTGCTTAATATACACTCGGATCTTACAAATTAACAAATGAATGTGACGAGTCAGCAAACAGTTAAGTTTTTTCAATAATGCTGTAGACAGGTAATTTAAATGTTTACCTTTAGTTAATTTAAAAGCATTTTACGCAGCAATATTTCGTTTAATGGTCAAAAAAATAATAATTCTAGCTAATGGGGAATGTCCTATTTCTACCGTAATACCCCATTTGTTTGAATATTGCGGACACCGTATTTATGAAATGAGCTGACCGTATTTCCATAGTTTTATAAAATGCATTTCTATTATGCACCATTTCTCATTCGGGGTCGTTAACATCAGCTTTTAATAATACAATTTAAATTAAAGGTCTCTCCTGTCTGAAATAATTGTGTTCAAGTTTTCTACAAGCGCTTTATAAACTTAAGACGTAATGACGACGTATTAGCCGTGTCACAACCAAGATCTCTAAGGCCGGTTTCGGACCTATTAGTTCTCATCAGCTGTGCTTAGTTTGTATATCGTTTTCATAGCAAGAAACCTATTTTTGCACCATCCCACAAGACTGTCGTACTGATCTTTATTTTTTAGTTTATTTAACTTTTTTTACTCACCTTGTTTTGTTTCCATAAGCATTTTTTTGAAGTGATAACTTCTTGTGGCACGGTGGGAATGGATTAGAATACGTAACGGCGTCATTGCCTGGCATAGATAAATACAAGTAACTACGCAGATCTCTCTCGCACGCACACAGTCGCCCGTGAGTTCCAACTAGTTCCATTAGGCCGGTCGGCTATTATAATTAAAGACCGGATTTTAAGCATTTTGCTTATTGCTGAATTTTATAAGCAACCATTAGATTATTTAATTTCTAAACGAATTATACCAAACTAAGTATATTGCGATAGCTTTTATTATGCTTTTTTTGCTTTTTTAAAGTTTTCATGCTTTTTTGTCCGGTCGTGCTTATTTTGACTTTTTTCCGCATATTTAAATAATTTTAAAAATAGTACAAAATATTATACGGGAATAAATGTCCATATAAAGTAAATTTGGCAACTTTGCAAGGCGTCGCGTGATTCCCCGAAAAATCCGTTCGCACGTAGGTAATTCCCCAAAGTTTAGCCTTGGGCTATGGCAAGACTTTTGTTATTTATTTAGTTAGT